TTTCGGTGAACAACAAAGATGAAATGATACCGTGAGCGTTGCGGTCATTAAGTGGAACGGGCCCATGGCAGTCAGCCAATCAGCAAGCGAAACGCCATTGTCGCTTCTCTGATTATATAGGACTATAATATAGATCAGTGAGGAAAACCAAGCATTCATGTCATTTCAGTTAACCCATATATGTAATACTACTATATTGCTAGTCAAAGCTTGTGCGCGAGTGAACGCGGGAGCGCGAGGATAGCGTGAAATGGACACGCTTAGTAATAAAGGCAGTCAATTTATTAAGAACAATAAATAGTTAACAAGTTCTTTGTCGCTAAGATTTAGGCTAATTTTAACCGTGTCTGGTTCCGGCGAGCGACCGGGAGCGCAACGATAATCTCCGCGAGCGACGGATATATCGAATACCGCAAGCGACGGTATGAACGGAGCGATTCCGCGAGCGACGGAATAATCCGCGAGCGACGGATAGAATTTTGTAACGAATATTCGCGAGCTACGAATATTCTCGAAGACGCGAGATTTCGCGAACCACAAGCGATGGTTAACAGAAGAAAAGCAAGCTACTTTAACTTTTCCTAGCGAACGTCTCCGTACAAAGAATTCACACAGTCTCGGATAAATCTCGATTGAGTGCGCCCGGCGGTTCCCCGAGAGAGCCTTTATACAACCGTTCTTTTTGTGTTCTAGAATTTTCTACGTGTTTGTCTCAAAATTCGCGTCGGTTGTTATTTTCGATGATTAGTTAAAATTGAACGTTGTTATTACAATTTGTTTGTCGTTTTAGGCTCTCCCGGGTGACCGCTGCGTGGCCCGCATCGATAGGCACGAGCGATGCCGCTGGTCCTGACGCGATTCGCGTAGCGCCGCTGTCGAAGCGCGCTCTTATTTGTCGAGCGCGGTGCGACGCGCGAGATGGTGGCTACCGCGCCAATTTTTGAGCGCGCTTTGTAATAGCGCGCATTAGCGGATAATAATTTCTATAGTTCGGTTTCGAACATTCCGCCCGCCTCGTATTGTGGAACATACGAAGTTGACCGCTGTGTTGCCCGTCTTACCGCGTACTGATTATATGCGGCTAATGTCAGCTCGTGACGTTAAGGCGAGCGGCCGGCGGGGTGCGGTACGGCGCGATGGAATGCGCGTTCCATTCACAGTTTTTCGGCTACATGTTAATCGGCGTAGTATCGCGTATGTAATGCCGCGATGGCGTGAGTCTCGTGATTTTCTGGATACGGTGTCCGTTGTGCTGTTTCGTGTGGGTGTGTAACTGTGGAGTGGAGTGTGCTTGTATGAGTGTGTGTATCTGTGATGTGGCGTGTGCTGTGTCAGGCGTCTTCCTTGGTGAGGGCCGCCGTCGAGACGGCCTGAAGCGCCGAGCCGTCGCGAGGACGTGGGCGCGGGAAATACGGCGTCGGTCGAGTACGACGCGGTTGCGGCGACGGATGAAGGCGATCCGGAAGGCCCGCGTCGCTCGAGGTCCTTGCCCTTTGAAGGCTCGCAGTCTTGTCGGTCACGCGTGTTCGACATCTCTCTTGAAAACCGGCCGAGCCGGCTTCATCTGAGGTCGCGGAACGTCCTCTTGGAGAGGCTGCGGGGATGCCGCCCGCCATAGCGGACACGTCGACAGGTGCTGACAGCAACCCTTGCCGAACGCGCGACCGCTCCGGATCCCGTACACCTGGCGGATGGCCCCTAGCTTCAGCTTTCCGCGCAAAATCCGGCGATGACCAGTCTCGACGATGAACCGAGTGATGCCTGACTCTCCGGGCAAGATGATCTGGCGTCTTGAGAAGGCGAAGAGGGCGGATTTGTGCTGACCTTGGTGGATACCCTGAGGTTTTCTGAAAGAAGTTACGCTCGTAAGTATTTCGCTCAGCAGTTCGATCTCTTCGCTTCCTGAAGCGGGGCACTATTTCCGCGCGACCCTCCACGATTCGGCACTGGTGAATATGTGCCCGTTCAGCGAAGGGAGCCTCGTCGATAGCTCCCGATAGGATCCACCAGAGTGTCGTGTGTTGTGCCACCGGTTCGCGGTGTCTTCCCTTGCGAAGACCTTGGCGGATGATGGCAGTGTGGACGTCGGCTCCGAGTAAGATGTCGACCGGGTCTGAGGCGCGATATTCTGGATCGGCCAGCTCCAGTCCCTCCACATGCGGCCAAGTTCGTGCTCCGGGGTCTACGCCGCCAGCGTAGACTGAGAGCCGCGGAAGCACGAGCGCGTTGACAGATGTCACCGCTCCTCCGTTTTGGGGCGACAGTAATACAGTGACGCGACTCTTGGCCGTGCTGGATCTTTGCCCACCAACCACGAAGACACTGACGGCGGTCGGTAAGCGCGACAGTCTTAGCTTTAGCGCGAGGCGCTCGGAGATCACCGACGACTCCCTGGTCGACAAGTGCACGAGCGTTGTGGTTCACCCCGTACCTGTCAGCCACGCGAACGCGAGCCGTCGCGAGGAGCACGGAAGCAGATTGTTCGCATAGTCCCTGTGCGACGTGCGATGAAGTCGCGACCGCGTTTTCGCGATAGGCTTCGTGCAGCGAGGAGTGGTGACGCGCGTCACACACTGAACACGTCTTCTTGGAAGCGCATTCGTCTACCAGGTGCCGGCCCAGACAATTCAGGCAAAGCTTCCTGGCCTCGATAACTTGCTTCCGCTCTAGGCCCGTCTTCCGTCTGTACTCCTCGCAGAGCATCACGAAATGATCTTGCTGGCACAGAGCACAGCGGCTGCGTTTGGATTCCGGTTCGCTTTCCTGTTTGCGAGCGAGGTGGCTGCGAGTGGACCTGGGCGAGCTGTTCTCCTGCTTGCTCGTGGCACCGTCGGCTTTGATCGGCTGCATCGATTCCAAGGTGTGCAGGCGCCTGTCGAGGAAGAGCTCGAGGGTGTCGAACAACGGAGGCTCCTTGGTGTCACTTATGAAGTTCTCCCACTCGCGACGCAAACGCGGGTCGAGAAGTTCGACCGCTAGATAGACGAAGAGGTCCTCGCTACAATCGATCGGCCAGCCGATATTTTCCAGCGAGCTGACTGTCGACTTTAGGCAATGGAAAATGTTTCGAATATCGCCTGGCGATTCGCTCTTCATCCTTTGGAGCGAGAGGAAATTCGAGAGGTAAGCGCGCACTAACAAACGCTTATTCTCGTAATGCGATTGTAGCATTTCCCACGCACTTTCATAATTGTCTCCTGTTGTGGAGATATTTCGGATTAACAACTCTGCTTCACCTTTTAAGCAGGTCTTCATGTAGTGCAGCTTCTCTACCAGCGCTATTGAAGGGTCCTTCCCGATGATGGACTGGAACAAGTCACAGAACGCCGGCGTCCTCGTATCTCCCGGAGAAGCTGGGAAGCTGGATTCGCGGGAGAGTCCTACGGGATGCCGCTCGAAGCTCGTCTCCAGAGAGCCTCGATCCAGTCTTCGGGGAAGCTGGCTGAGCGAGAGCTTCTTCCAGCTCAAGGACAGCAGCGCGCTGGATCACATAGACCTCCTCTACTTGACCGAGAAAGTCCTTTGTCCCGTACTCATGTTTCCTGACTTTCGCTCCATACTCGGTGAACAGCAGTTCGTGTTGTTCCTCGAACTTCGTCCATTTAGCGTCCAGAAGCTTGAGCGTGGTTGCCACAAGCCCCTTATTAATTTTTGCTTGTCCTGCCTTCTTTAAATTGTCGTACGTGCAGGCGATACGACTGCAAAGCTCGTGCTGAGCTAGAATTAATTCTTCCATGTCCCTTTCAGGTCACTACAGCGAGGGATCTCTTCTGGGCTCGCTTCTTCTCCGGAAAGCACAGGAGAGGCTCACCAAGTGGTTCACCACACGCGACGCGGATGCCGGTTGCGAGGAATCCGGCTCGAAGGACCAGAAAATGTGCGCGAGTGAACGCGGGAACGCGAGGATCGCGTGAAATGGACACGAAAGTGATTTTGTAAAACGCAGTCAATTTATTAAGAACAATAAATAGTTAACAAGTTCTTTGTCGCTAAGATTTAGGCTAATCTTAACCGTGTCTGGTTCCGACGAGCGACCGGGAGCGCAACGATAATCTCCGCGAGCGACGGATATATCGAATACCGCAAGCGACGGTATGAACGGAGCGATTCCGCGAGCGACGGAATAATCCGCGAGCGACGGATAGAATTTTGTAACGAATATTCGCGAGCTACGAATATTCTCGAAGACGCGAGATTTCGCGAACCACAAGCGATGGTTAACAGAAGAAAAGCGAGCTACTTTAACTTTTGCTAGCGAACGTCTCCGTACAAAGAATTCACACACTGTCTCGGATAAATCTCGATCGAGTGCGCCCGGCGGTTCCCCGAGAGAGCCTTTATACAACCGTTCCTTTTGTGTTCTAGAATTTTCTACGTGTTTGTCTCAAAATTCGTGTCGGTTGTTATTTTCGACGATTAGTTAAAATTGAACGTTGTTATAACAATTTGTTTGTCGTTTTAGGCTCTCCCGGGTGACCGCTGCGTGGCCCACATCGATAGGAATCATTTTTCAAATATTCCGCATTTTCATAATCATTACTATGTGACAATATACTCGTATTTAACAAACTATCACATATAAGTTTTGATTCTTGTGCGGCTAGTCGATTTAAGTGCCTTTTTGATATATGTGAAATGTCTTTTCTGAATCGCTTCCGATTGATTGTTATATTTCTATTCAAATAAAAATATAAATAAGTTTTGTTATAATATTTATGAGTATTATTTTTAGAGAGAGAGAGAGAGAGAGAGAAAGTATAATTCACACACAGGATATCCCAAAATCATCGGACACCATTTTGCCGACAGATTCTGTGGAATATTCTAAGACGAAAACTCTTATGCAAAAATGTCAAGGGCTATAATATTTTTTAAGTGGGAAGCACTTAAAGTTGACCAGTCTGCGGAAATTTCGCGCGCTAAGACATGGCACATCGCACAACAACTTAAGGTGCCCTTATACATTGATTCAGTTTTTAAATATTGACATAATTCTGCATACGACAAGGCAAATTATTTTGAAGTTTTATCTTATTTATCTGTGATTGTTTAATTTACTATACATAAAGAATGATGTCAGCATTATGAAACAACAATCATACATATGTCAAATCAAATGCGTCACGAACTGGCGCATGACTTTTCTTGTATGGTAAGCATAATTAAAATTCAAATTGTCAATCGATAATTTTATATTTCTATGATAAAGTAAGAAAAAATAAATAATGACGTATAATAATAACGTTTTCCTGCATCGATAATTACATAGAGCAGATTGAATATGTAAAATCGGTAAAAATCAAGAAATGTCTTAATTATTTATCCAATTTTAGTATATGTTTATAAACTATAAGTTGTTGACACAAATGTTTAGTAATTATATATACAGGGTGTCCGAAAATTCGCGCAACACTCTTTAAGGGAAGGTAGAGGGTGTTATTCTGAATAGAAAAGTCCTGTAACATTTTTTTCTATAACGCTTAATAAAGAAGTTATTATTGAGTAAAGTCTAGTCAATCAGCGCCAACCTTTAGCTGGGCGCACGTCAATGAGCCCCGCACCGTGAAGTGTGCGGCGGCGCACACTACTAGGCGCGCAGCTCACCGACGTGCGCCCAGCTAAAGATTGGCGCTGATTGGCTAGACTCAATAATAACTCCTTTATTAAGCGTTATAGAAAAAAATGTTACAGGACTTTTTCATTCAGAATAGCACCCTCTACCTTCCCTTAAAGAATGTTGCGCGAATTTTTGGACACCCTGTATATATATATGTATATATATATATATATATATATATATATATATATATTTATGACGTTTATCTACTTCCGGTGCTCAAAAGTAGGATAATAATGATATACTTACGGAATTAATGTATTTAACTAATATATTTACTTAATATATAGGACTTGCACGCATGAGATATATATGCTACAATTACGCGATATGACGCAAATTTACTCCCGATTGTTCGAAGTATCATACAGAATATGCCGCCATATATAGTTTTATAGGGTAAGATTTGCCATGCAAGATATTGAAAATCGCGATTTCATTTCCAATAAAGTTTAATTCGTGTATAATGCTTCCTTTGTGCAATAGAAAAATGGAAAATGCTATTTACAAGTTAAACTGATACATAGTTATTAAAAACTGACACGTAGTTATTAAATGACACACTGATCGCGCTTTGTGCATGAATAGAAAATATGATATAAGCATTAAATAAATGATAATCCTATCATTTATATATTTCATGTGTGTGTGTGTGTGTGTGATATGATTAGAACATAGGAGATATGCAATTTGAAATATTAATATGAGCATAATTCCAACATGCTTTCTCTTTGCGATATTTCGACATTTTTAAATCTATGTTTGTCCAGATAAAAATCATGTGATGCATTTGCAAGCTGTAATGTTATTATGACAATGTACTTGATATCTTGTATGTACAATTTCTATTATTTATAAGCGATGCTTTAAAATGCATTCGAGTACACAAGAATGCAATATACACAAATATTTGGGAAGGAAAGGGATCTTTCCAAAACCCACTTGTGACTTGGTAACTTTCCAAGATGATGGGTATATAATGCCGTGATAAGAATTCGATTTGTTTCTTTACGCAATTGTTTAACAAACTGAGCTTCGGCATTATTGTCGAGATGTTGACTCTCGAATTTTATTTTCGAGTTATATTTGTGATATTAGTTTCCTTAAATAATAATCTTTGCACTGCCTACATATATATATATATATAT